ATGATGAGCGATTCCGTTGAGTATGAGTGCGCTAACTCTAGATGTACTGATCTCATGGTCATGGAGGTGAAGATAATTCCGTATCCTTTCTCCACGTACCGTCCTCACTCAACATAAAATGACTCGAAATAGTCTAGACCAACCGAGTGGAATGGCGGCAGTGGGCTATTTATTCTATTTATAGGCATTGGAGCCATTAGCGGACACCCTGTCTTACTCAGTTGCCTACGACAGTGAGCGCATTATCTCAGAACTCTCTTTACTGCTGCGCCAGCTTTGATTATCCAGAAACGCCTCCTATTTTCAGATAATACAAACTCGGGTCCTAAATGACCTTCCTACTCATGAAAGTGACGTATGAGAAGTTTGGTTACATGGTGTTTTGGGGGCAGGATAACTGGGTGTCTTGCGTCATGTGGAAAGTTCGCGTAATGCAGTCTACCACCAACTTGAAACATCCCATTTACTAGAACTGAACACAATTTACATAGAGGGCTACCCCGGTGCACTCATCCCTTAGGAACCATTAGCGAAACCTGATCGCGTACGGTTTGAATACTGGAAGTGGTTTGTCATTTTGGATTATTTTACGGTCATTCCTAGGTGTTAAGGTTATTTTTGTTAGGTTATTGTAACATTTGTTGTAACGTTCATTATATCGCTTGGTGTTATCCGTCTATTTCTCGGTTTCCTACTACTCGTCGGTTTATCACAATGGGTACAAAATCTCGATTTCTCAAACCGTTCTAATAGGACATTTGAATAAATTACTTAATAACTATTTTTAACCACCTCAGTTGTTTTGACGCATATATATATTTTATATAGAGGCCATTAGGCTGTATTATTATTATCATCATAGCTGACATAATGAAAGTTTGAGTTGTCATCAATTTAAGTTTAAATTAAGAATAAAGGAGCTACATTGCATTCAAAATAGAAAGCGGAAACCTCAAAGTGATAATAATAATATTAATGTATATTTCACTAACCCCGTGAAGCATGCACAAAGTATGATCATCTGTTCATAATAGTCATATGTACATTAAAGTGCAGGTATAAAGAAAGTCCAATTGGAAGATATACGTAATGGAGATGATGGAGGAGCGGAAACGAAAACGCAATCTAAAGGGAACACGAAGCGGACAGAGTCACAAACGTATTAATGGAGGATGAAGCAGTGCACTAATTAGGCATGTCAATGGAAACTGAAGTAACAGAGAGCCTTGTACCGAGAAGATTCGAGGTGCGGCATTACCGGGAGGAAATACAGAGAGACGATCTGTGAAACAAACGACGCGAGATGATAGAGCCAGGCGGATGGGAGTGAATAGGAAGGGAGAGTACAGCGAGTTCATACATTTGTCAAATTACATCTTTCTCTGTAAGCTGCAACATGCTTGCTTCTGAAGACAAATTCATTGGGTTCGGGGCTTCGAGCGGTCATGGAATGACTTAAGTTATTTAGGCGTTCGACGCTCTGATGTGTGACTGACCTTGGCGGTGCCTTCGAACTGGTTGCGCGAATCTTGCTCTCTGGTTAAATCGTAAAATTTGAAGGTTTTGTTGTGTAAAACCAACTGTATTGCGATTTCACTTTGGTATCATACTTCTATTATTGCGGTTATATGGTTTTTGCACTGTTTTTCGATGTTCATCATTTTTTCGAAAAGGTTTTAGCCATTTCGAATTTTTGTTTGCACGAAATTTGAGTTACTTCAGATTTCGCACTTGTTCAGGTAATAATAATAATAATAATGGTATATTTCACGAAGCCCGTGAAGCATGCGAGTGCGCACGATCAAATTTACA